CCACTCAGCCACAAGAGCATTACCGAAGTCATTTATTGGTGTTGGGTGCGAAGGCCTGGCTCGCAGTTCCAGTTCATACCAGAGGTAATAGATGGGGTTGAGGTTAGGACTCAGGTTCTTCCACACCAAACTTAGAGAGCAATTTCTTAATGGACTTCACTTTGAGCACATGATGGGGGTGTTCTCCTGTTGTCTAAAATATCATTGCAAAGCTGTAGTTTAATTAGAACCAAGGGGGTAATCTAAATCATTGGAAAGAGCCCCAGACTAAAAGTACACGAGTGCACAGATACATACTTTTGGCTGTAAAATGTTCCATTTATGATGCATTTGCTTGATCTGTCCATAGCATTCTCTGAACATGAAGCCTACAGCACTGTAGGTAAATTTGCTAGATTTCCCTAATTCACAGAAACGACTGGTCCAATAGTCAGACTACAGATTTGGGAGGCAGCCCTTCAAAGGTCAGTGCACTACAGTGCATTTAGAGTGCATCCCTTCATATCAAACAAAGCTTGATATTTGCGACGCATTACCAGCTGTGCCATTCTGGACAGTGAACTTTCAGACCAAAGCACATGACATCTGAGTGTGCTCACTGAAAGTTGCTAATGCCTTGAACATGACTTTATTTTTGAACAGGCATGTCTACCCCCAAGTAAGTAGTCTACGCTTTCCAGAGAAACATCCCCTCAGTTTAAACAAAACTATGTCTTGAGGTTTACACACGTTTTCTTTAAATGCTGCATTTCTCATGATGACTTTATTTTACTTTGTTTATCTTTTTCTACTGTAACATACATTTCAGTAAATAGCTCTATCCAGAATTTCAGGCATGTGACTGCAAGATTATTGGTTAGATTATTTGCCTTTTTATTTACTTCCAGAATAATATCTTCTTCATAAGTATACATACATTTTGACTTCCCAATGTAAGACAGTGGTATAATAGAGAGACCCTTGTTTGAAATTTAAATGTAATCTACAGCCATAGCACCTGTTACTTAGGAAATTACAATTTTGCTATATATTGCAACTGTACAGTACCTACAGTGCTGTGCCTACAGTACTGTACAGTGCCTTTTCTTTTTAATTGCCTGGAATTCCTACCTTGATACCCCTTTGAACAAAGGTCACCCCGAGTGCCAAATATCCTCCAGCGACTCCACAGCCCCGAGCCTTTGTAGATCATTATGTTCCTCTCATTGCGGTTGCCCCAGTTTAAGTGGAGGTCCTGGTCTTTTAGGCCGAAGAGAGTCTCATTCTTGCACTGCCAATGCTGGAGGTCACTCTTCTCATCGCATTCAAAGAGGATCACCTTCACCCAGTCTTTTATCTCTGTGGCCCCCAGACAGAGCTTGAGGGACAGACTGAGGACACGCGACTGGGAAGCCCAACGAAACTGCTGCTGTTTGGCATGAGGATCACAAGGGGCCACAGTTAGTGATGTGGCACTCTCCACCTTAATGCACTTGTTGTGGTTCTCATTGAAGATCAGGAAGGAGCCACTGTCTGAAGTAGAATAGAACAGCTTTAACAACACATCTCATATGATAATTTCACTCTCATAATTTTACTCACAGCCAAGTTGAAAAGATTTCTAAAAAAAAATGCATCAGAGATACATACCTATGTCAGCAGTAATGCAGAGGATTTGCAGGAGACAGAGGATCACAGCTAAATTCAAACAGGGTAACATTATCCTCGATGTGTAGTTTGCACTCAGTGGTGGAAGAGTTGGTGTGAGAGTTTTCCAGTCATGAGAGAAGAGGTCTGGTGTGTGCTAAGGTGTATGACATTGAACAACAGAGACACAGAGACATGGCACTTTCCTCCCTTAATCACTCTGATGGATATCCTGTCACATGAGTTGGGTGGTTGAGGTTGGTCAAACCACAGCAATTTCCATGAGTTTCCAAAGAAGTTTTCACAGAGAACAGGAAGGTAGGAGGAGGGAAGCAAGCAACATCATTTCACCGTTAAACAAGAAATGAGTCACCAACGATAGCTTCAAATAAAAGCCATAGTGTCAGGGTAGGACAATAAATCTATTTTTAATAAATCAAAGGCAAAAGTGGAACTGGATGATGAATTTTGGGAATTAATTTATCCAAGCAGGTTTTTTTCAGGTTCAATATCTTGCCTTTATCTGAGATTTTTGATCTATTATAAATAGCCCTTCAGTCTGTGCTAAATCTGTACCTGGATAATGAACCCAGAGAGCAGGTGCCTTTCAACAAGACTGACTGAAGACGTTTCAGGTGTCAGAGGATTTAGGTAAATCACATCTGATTAGGAATGTGACAGTTTTATAGTGAGTGCCAGAGCAAATGAGGTTCGCAGCACTTTGCTGATGTGACTTTTTTTCGCGGGATAGTAGCCCCACAGGAGGTCCATGAGGCTTTAGGTGAGGAGTGCAGTGATGATACAGGTCAGGAGAAAGAGAGGACAGGAGGAAATCCTGCTTCCTATTGGGGGAAGTGAATGGAGATTTCACCACTTTGGCTTCAAACTGCAGGGATGCCCAGTTGTGCTGCTCAGACAAATAAGGTACAGACAAATACCTGTAAAATACATGTATGGAAAGAGATAAAGGTTCCACTAAAGATCCCATGTTTAACACTTTTCAAGTGTTTTATTTTAAGTTTTTTAAGAAGATATATTTGTAGTTTTAAGTACCAAAAAGCATCTCAATATAGTTTTACATCTGTTTAATGCATCTCTTTTGGAGTTTTGTCTTGGTCTCGGAGCATTTCTTCTGATTGGCTGACTGTTTTCTGAGTGAAGCGTGCCCAGGTCAAGTAAATGCAAATGGCCAAGCTCAGTCAGTGCTGAAATGAGCCAAACAGATGGTCAAATCTGAACTACAATGCCCAGGTACTACAGAAAAAAAAAACTTGAGCCACTGGTCTCTAATCGATCGTGCAGCGTTTACTTGACATTTTTCTGTCTTGTAGCTTGCTAGCTCAACTTGGTGTTGTGTTGTTAATAAAGTTAAAACAACAACAAAAACAAAAAAAGGCTGAACAGTTGGTCCAGGTGGGCTGTGCAGGGGCCACGGCTGAGAGCGGTGACTGTATACTTGTGACATCACAAAATTACAATAGTCCTGATGGCTTGTTTTAAGACACAGTCTCTGAACACGAACTGTGTGCATTTGTCTGTGGACTGAGCGTTCTGACACTGTATGTATTTATATAGCGCCTAGTACTATAATCAAAAAAGAAGTCTCACTTTCTTCAATATGGGACCTTTAAACACACAGATGTAGGAGAATCTATAAACAGCTTACCTATACAGTAATGAATAGGTATTGACTGCAACAATTTTGATGGTTTATCCCCTGGCCTTAGAGGATGGGAAGGGGAGGCTGTGTCCATTTTGTTGATTGTGCAGTCTTGTTTGCATTGGTTTCTCTTTGATACTACCACTAGGTGCTGCTAAAGTTAGAAAATTTAAATTTTGCAGCCCCAATATTATCACACATGAACATGATTTGATACATATTCTGCAGCCATAGCACATGTTTGTGCTCTCTGAATGCTTTGCAGTTGACTTGTCAAAGTAAAACAGATATTTGCATAAAGACTGGAAACAAGGTGAAACATCAAAATGTTGAACTATTCCTTCAGGATAAACACCAAAGCTTGTAGAAGACAGAAAACACACACAGATATGTAATAGTGAAAAATGCATGACTTGCCTAGTTGAACTGTTTTCCAAGAGGGCTGAATGTCAGGGCTTGAGACATTATAGTACACATTAGGAATCAGTCCAAATACACAATTAAATATTGGTGGAACCACCGTTTACTAGAAATTGGACATAATATCATCAACACATGTCCAATTTAATGCAATCCAATACAACAGCCCAGCAATAAATAATATATCCTTTGCCACTGTCAGTGAAAATGATAATTTCCATGTTGCTGCAGGATTCCAGGAAGGGAAGGTGCGAGAATGTTTTGCAGCATAATGACAGGAAACCTTTTCTCTTGAGGACTTACTGTGAAGAAATTGGCCAAATTCCAGTGTAAAAGGTTTAAATGGGCATCGAAAACATACACTGTATCTACCTTCAGTTCATGTCAGTACCTTCTGCATACATGATAAAAATCACACAAATAAAACTTAAAACATATTTGAATAATTATCTTTATTAACCTTACCAAAATATATGTATCAATGATACAAACTCACACTTTGTTTTCCTTTTTAAAATGTAACTTAGCAAAGAAAAACCTAATATAAACAACATGGATTTATGCTTTTACATATTCACTGCACTTTATGATGGTAGAAAAAAAGTCTCCCAAAAAAATCTCAAGTGACATTACAGGTACATTCCCAAAGTGTCATTCGTGGTGAGGGTGAAGGGTTTTGAGGGGTAAAAAAAGTACGTTTCAACAAAAAGGTAAATAATACATAACGCAACAGTCATTTGACACAATGTCCTTTATGGGAAAACATTGCCTAAGAGCTCCCTTTTGGCCTGTGAAAAGTACCATCATGCATTTGATCAAAAAAAATGTTTCATCTGTGTTGCATACCCAAAATCATACTTTTGGTTTGGTTGCACCAGCTATTCTTAGATCCATTATTAAGTTTGTTTCAAGCTGCGAAGTAGTATAACGTCACAGTTAAGAAATGTCTTAGCTAGAAAATCAACTTTGTAAACAAGTCAGTGTAGCATCACAAACTTCTAACTGCCACAAATGAGTTTTAGAGGGGCAATTCAGGGGCCGCATCCTTCGGCGGAAGCGGTCTACGAAGGTATGGCCCATCGTAGCCGTCGTAGACTGCAAAAAGGACGAACCGAGATGAGACGGTTTAGTCTACAGAGTATTTTCTCTCCAACACTTCATTTGGCTAGGTATGAATTTCCAAAATGCTGGTGCTGGCGCCCCTATCATATCAAGTCATCCTACAGATCCTGACAGATCTATTGCTCCTGCTATATGTCGTAATGTTGCACTGTCTTTGCTTGAAGTGTTGGTCTTAAAAGAACATCCTCTCTGTGTTGAAGACCCTCAGCTTGGTCATGAAGTTGAAATAGACGAAGGCCAGGCACACCAACAGGTTCTTCATCAGATAGAGGAGGGGTGTGACGAAGCCAAAGAAGGCAATGAGGCCAACGCGCACAAAGAAAAAGGGCAAGTCCTGCAGAACTACTCCAAGTGAGGAAAGCAGGGGGCTGTGGGGCATGACCACCACACGCAGGCAGGACAGGTAGCTGAAGATATAGATGGGGAACACCCAGCCTGAGTAGTAGACCAGGGGATGTCCTGCCACCCGCACCATCTCCACCGTATCCATCCAGAACATAAAGCTGTCCACAAACACGTCTGCTCGGGCGTCGCTAGCACACAGGAATCTCAGCGGACCCGTGTAGGCGTATGGAGATATGTGGTACGCTGTGGTGCTCACTGATCGAGAGCTCAACCCAGAGATACTAAATGGTCTCCCAGGATTACCTGGTATCCCGGGGACAGTCCCGTTGGTCTCTGGTCGAGCCCCCCCTGCTCCATTCTGGTTCCTGTCATTGGGCTGGCTTGCCCCTGGTTGCGCAGGAGTGGGAGCACCTTGCCCGGGCGCAGCTGGCCCTGGCACAGCTGGAGTGACAGGTGCTACTGGAGTTACCTGTTCCACATGTGTGAGGACAGTGGAGGGGATGTCAGCATCTCTCTCCATGTCATTAGCTGGAGAGACAAAAAGATGATGAATGATTTTCCAGACTCAAGTCTAGTCGAATGAGATTATACAGAGCAAAACAAGCCTGAAATTACATTTACTGATGTTGCTTATCTTCATGTTGTGCTGGTGAGAAAACAGCATGATAGGGTTACAACAGGCCACTACCAAATCTTATCATGAAAATTAAAAATATTATCTAGTTGGAACCTCGGCTCCATGAAACAAATATCAGTGGTTTTTCCAAGCAACTTCATAAAAACGTCAGTCTACTCAAACCGCCTTGATGCTTTTCTTTGGAAAAACCTTTTCGTCACGTCTTCACTGTTTTACAAGAAGTCTGGGTTAAGCAATTTCCTTCTTACTCATTCCTTCTGTTACAGTAGTATCTTTTTTTTAACTGTAACTGTGGGCACAGAGCCAAAGAATAAGAACTTCAATCGTGTTTCCAAAATATTCCGGATAAACAATATAAAGAACTGTTCGCTGTATTTGTTGCCTCCAAGCTGCCTGCCTGCAATGTAAAGCCAGGCTGGAATCACTATATCTATAGTTGGGCAGAGGAAAGTTCAGGATCTATAGCCGGCAGCGAGTGATTTGTGTAATGTGTTCAGAGAGCTGCGCTCACCCTGGCCAGTCAGTCTGCAGTGGCGTATCCTCTCCACAACGTCAATACAGATGAGAGAGAAGAGGACTAGTGATACAGGGAGCTCCGTGAACGTATCATCTTTCATGTTGTTATTTATCTGAACCTGAGCAACCAACCAGAAAATGATTAGTAGAACAAACATCTTGACCAGAACATTTAATGTAATTATCTACTCACTTCCAGTAAATATAAAACTTATCTGTTTGCCTACAAACAATAATAATAATAATAATGGTCCTTTGCACCATGCCTTTACATCGAACTCTCTACACTTGTGACCTCCTCTAGTTCTGGGTTTCTGGGTTAAAATCACTTGCAGCTTTGGTATTTTCCTGAGTTGGGACTTCATTCCAACAGGACACAGAACAAAGCAGACAAGCTGGTTGTCTAAGTAGAATTTATGGCCCTTATGTAAAAGACACCAGATAAGCAAGGGCCATGAGGTCAGGCTGGGCTTCAGAAAGGACCACATGAAACAGCAAAGAAGCTCGGCTGCAGCCAGCAAGGAAGTGAAAATGTGCCTCATGGACAGATGATTTGACAAGGGCAGCTTGGACAGGAAGAGGAACCAAGCTGCTTATCAGTGGCTCCTTATCCATATAGCTGGATATTTCCCCCCTGGAGAACCAAAATGTTCCCCACAAATCATCACCTTTATAACAGCTGCAGAGGCCTGACACTGTGATTCCACTCATCTACAAAACTTTATCTCAAATGTAAAGTTGTAGCAGGTTTTTTTTTTTTTTTTAAGGTTCATGCAACTTCTCAGGATGATAAACACGACCATCCATAGTAACTGCAAAGGGCCTAAATAATTACAGTAAATGTTGCGGTCAATTATAGACTCTTATAGCAAATATAGTGAAATGAGGAGATAAGAAAATGCATGATCAGAATACAGATGAAGTAATGTAATAAAACAAATGACAAACAATCCACAACATGTACCTCAGAGCTGGCGATGAGAAAGGCAAAGCAGGGTAATGTGGACAGGATCACATATACGAGGGCCACAGGCCTCCTGATACAAAGACAAAGGAAGGGAAAGACAAAAAAAGTAAGGAAGGAAGACAAAGGCAGTTGCAGGACTTGCTAAATCATGATATTCACCAGCCAAGTGCAGTCCGAACCAGCTACAGGCCTGTTCAGACTCAAACCAGCTGGTCAGGTCTCAGTCAGTGCTGCACTGGGATCCTAGTTCCTGACCATACACAGCAACAAACAGAGCTGGACCTCCATTTCTGGCTCCTCAGGCCCCTGACATCAGGGCAAAGGCAGAAGAAACTCACCACTTCTTTCTCCCAATGAGAAACTTCTTTTTCATGAAGACCATGTACTTCAGGGGTACCCAGACCAGCAGGGCAGTTGAGGTGACATAGGCAACGGAGGAGGCCACGATCAACCAGTAGGCTGTGCCGCCGTCGCCAGGAGGCTGCGCTGAGGTTTTCACCTTTGCTACGATGACGGCAAACCTCTGCATGACGATGAAGAGGGGCACACACAGGCCTGCAAACTGCAGCACCTCGCACAGGGCGAACTTCAGCGTCCTCCCCGAGCCCATGCTGTAGCAGTTCAAAAAAAGAAAAAGAAGGGAGGGAGACGGGGGCTGTTGTCGCAGTGAGGCGACCCCTGTCCCTCTGAGGGCTGGTCAGGCCTCGGACCAGTGCATTGTCTGCCTCCACTAGCATTTTCCACACACCACAGCCCTGGCTCTCTGCTCACCCAACTGCTTACACTGCACTAGGCTTTGTGTACTTTGGTGTGACGATGATGTGACTGGCCCTTTACTCTCTTTATATACAGGATATAAACAAAGGTTGTCGAAGGATATGTATGTGCTACAGGCATCTTGAAAATGACACTTCAGCCCTTAATTTTGAAGTTGAAATCTCATCAGCAGACGGCCTCCATCGTTCTAAACGTATAAAACACATGTGACCTGAACATGTTTCCAAAAAAACCGGGAAACAAACGTGGACTTGATAACAGCCACGTTCAAAGCATCATCCAGAGGCTTGAGGCTGCGACCCCAAGACACACACATCACAAGGAAACCTAAAGGCACTTGTGGCTCTTCTCACATTTATACGTCGCCATCTAGTGGCAAAAGTTTACAAGTGTAAAATGCCACAAGCTCAGTGATGTCACAAATGTCAGAAATATATCTGTGGCTTAATATCACAGCTTTGCCTCTTCAAATTCAGATAAATTGAGGAAGGCTTGTCATGTCATAATAATAAGAGTGACATGGGCCCTTTTTCCTCAAAAGGCCAAAAGTACAAGCCACAACGAGCAACGAGGGATCAAATGGTTTCATCAGTGCTCTCTTTAGTTCAGACACAATTCGCCAACAGTTTCCTGCTACGTCCCTTTGTGTTCACGCACATTGAAGCTAATGATGTGAAAATGCTGCTGAGCTCAGACACCTGAACACTTGATCAAGTAACTGGATCAGGATTATGTCGTCTGGACTATATTTGGTGCTGTCTTTAGTTTACACACATTTCTACATGGTGCCATTAGAAGAGCTAATTTTAGATGCTGCGTTGATTCAGTTTCTCAGGCAGTGCTTCCATAAGAGTCAGATCTCAGACCAGTGTAGATTGATACCTGTGTATAAACATTACCCCTCTTGTCTGCCCCTCAGTACTAGGACTACAGCCACTCTACTGGAGTTGTGGTCCTAGAGATTTGAGTCCCAAGACCAGCGTACCCAGGCCAAGAGAGGTTTTATGTCAAGGTCGCAAGAAACCTGGGTGTCATGTTTGATGCCTAGCTGTTCTTCTCTGACCTTGTTGCATGCGTCTCCCGGTCGTGCCGCTTTGCACTATACAACATAAGAAAAATCAGGCCTTACCTGACTACGTAGGTCACCCAGCTCTTGGTCTGGGTCATGGTTATCTCTCGCCTTGACCGCTGTAGTGCTCTCCTGGCAGGCCTCCATTAATGCACAGTGAAACTCTTGCAGATGGTCCAGAATGCAGCAGCCTGTCTGGTCTTCGATCAGCCTAAAAAGGCACATGTCACTCCGCTACGCACCCGCCCTGAAAAATTCAAATTCAAGTCACCAATGCTTGACTTCAGAGAAACTTCTGGGTCTGGCATTGCCATCCCTGCAGACAAGGACAATCACAGTACATACTGTTCTCATCTGTGATTCCCTGACGGTGGAACAAGCTACAGGATGCTGTCAGAGCTGGGGCGTCCCTCTGTACCCTCAAGAATCTCTTGAAGACTCATCTCTTCTGCGGGCGCCTCCTCTCCTGACACCTTTAACACCCTAATACGCCTAACTAGCACTTAGTATTCACTTTCGATGCACTTCTTTCCTTGATTTCCTGGCTCGCACTTATTAAACAGATGCAGTACTTAGTACTTACGCCAAGGTTTCCTACTGCACTGAAGCAGTAGCACTAATGATGTCCCTCACTTGTAAGTCGCTTTGGATAAAAGCCTCTGCCAAGTCAGTAAATGTCAGACAAAAAGAAAAAGAAAAGAATAGAAAAGAAAAGAATAATACGTGGCCAAAACAGTGATGGAATTGATGGTTACGATAGAGATAGTCGTACTAAAGCAAGGCTCTGACTCCAGGCCCCTCTGCAGTTTAAAATACATACACTTAATAATATCTAATATGTTTGTATATATACATATATATTTATACAACCGTATAAATAAAATGTTACTCAGTTATGAGCAGGTTAAAATGGGAACAACAAAAGTTATTCATCTGTTTCAGCAAACTTAAAATAAGTGTGGATTATTTCGGTGCATGAATGTGAACCATCAAAATCCAATTTATTATTTCCACACCTCAATGGACACAATATGACAGCCTGCCCTTGAACCCTCAGCCTATCTATTCTTTTTAGTTCTAGTTGTGTGAATGTAACTCGAGGGAGAGTCCGGTCTCCCATGAGAAAAATAATTTGATAATATTTTGTAATTATGGGCAGCCATGGGCTTCTGTAGGAGAGTCCACTTCCAGTATGTTTGGGGTTGTATTATCTCAAGGGATCCACAATTTGTAGATACGCCCCTGTAATAACACTGACACGGGTTTAAAGTCTTATATCACAAAGGGACTTTTATTTCACCAGATCCACCGGCAGGCCACGCACTTGTTGCAGCACTAGTCCCGCGAGAGAGGGGGGATCCGTGGGCGGATAGATGGATGGATGACCCTGCTGCTCCCCTCCCAACCAGCCCCAGCTGTCAGCTCCCTTCCTGACTTCCCCACCCTGCCCCCGGTACCATGGCGTCCAGCGAGGAGGACGGCGCGGTTGAGGAGAAGGAAAACAACAACAAGAAGAAAACGAAAAGCGCCCTCGCTACCGCATGGCTCACTTTCTACAACATCGCCATGACCGCCGGGTACGTGCGTTATTCCGCCCCTGTCGCCTATTAATAAGAAAAGCTTATAAGTTCGCCGCTCCCTGAAAACTGTAAGCGTGTGTTGCTGTTTATAGGACTGTGTGTCTGTGTCAAGTCGAAAGTGCCTGTTCAGCTCGCTGCATTTAGCGGCGCACCGTGACACCGGAGTTGGAAAAAACCAGGGAGAACAGTTTGATAGTTAAAAAAAATAAATAAATACAAATGTAAGCGGTGTTTATCTGAGAGGTAGAAAATGAATGAATGGCGTTTGGTTAAAGTGAAAGACTGGCGCTGCAGCCGTGTCCAAATAGGGCTGACTGCATGGTGTCAGCGTCAAGGCCCACAGTGCTTCCGACAGTTGCAGTGATAAGTATAGCCGGAGTGCGCTGACACTGGAGCTCAGGACTGGGACAGTGAAATGCTCGTTGGGCAGATTTTTCAATAACAACATTACGTTTGTGGATTGTAAAGAGATTTTTTTTATTTTTTGTATCGTGTTTATAGATAAAACAGACGAGAATCAGCACTTGTCTGCTCATATCACTCGTGTAGAGAAAAGACAACAGAGCTGTCAGGTCAGCAAGTGGCTCTCACTGGATCAATAAGGACTAAACGCGCCTCCAGTTTGGCTCAGTGCGTCAGCATTGACTACACCTTTATTTACAGCTTAATCTCGACCAATATATACAATACTTCACTCATTATGACACGATGCGTCTGTGAGAGTGTGATAAACTGTCGATGCCATTCATCACAGATACACATAGGCCTTTACAGTATTCGACAATTAACTTTTATTTTAATTATGGAGTAATCTGTTGATGATTTCTTTCGGTTAATCGTCTTGTCTATAATAACATCATTATAGTCCGAGGTGACGTCTTCAGGTGTGTTACTTTGTTGACATTTAGTTGATGATGTAAGACAGTGAACATCAGCATCTTTAGGAGAAGCTGAAGGAAGTATTTAAGTTTCTGAGTGCAAAATTACTAAAACAGTTGATCGATTATATAAATAGTTGCAGATTAAATGATCAGTCTGTGGATAAAAAAAATGATGGACTAATTGTTGCAGCTGTGTGAGACAAACTTTATTAACCTTAAGTAAAAACTTTATTAACCTTAAGTAAAAATACTGTAAAGGTTATCATGTGCGTTAACACTGAGGCGATAATATTGCTACAGCTGTACAATATTAGGCAGTGAACATAATATTCATGATATATCATCCATCATACCGAAACACAGGATTCAGTTTGTTGTTTCAATTTATACAAAAGCAAAGATGATATTTTTTTGTTTGACTACCCATCACTGTCACATGCACACAAAGCAGCAGAATAAGACATGCAGCTCATGTAAGGCAACAGGGTTAAAGTGTCTTAGTATTATAGTGCAAATAAACCAAAGGCAGCGTCACCAGCAAGAGGGCGATCAATAACCATAAAAATAAAGAGCTGATTAATCTGGACAAAAAAATAAAAACAAAAACAAAACAGAAATAAAATATTATTAAGTAAAACCGAGAAAAGCTCTATGATAAAAGTTTGTTTTAAGAAAAGATTTTAAAGTTTTGGATGAATATTCAACACTCAGAAGATTATAATCATTAGTTGCAGTCATATATCCAATCCAGCCATTAACCTACTAAGTAGTTAATACCAGTGAGCGTGTAAACAGCTGTGAGATAATCTTTCTTGGCTGGAGTTTGTTATCAAGGATGTTTTCAAGGTGTTTCTGTACATTGCTGAGTCAGGGGCTCAGATTGATGGTAATGCACAAATTGTTTAGAGGCTTTCTTAATGTTGACCACGTATTTAATTTTGCTGCCATGTGAATTTTTAGGATCCATACATCCCCAAACGCTCAGTGACAGTTCAGCTTCTGTAATTTGTGCACTTGCTAATATCTGGTGTTAGCTACAGTCGTCTCCTTTCACATCAACGTTTAAGCTATAAAATATGATACATGTTTAAAATCTGTCATGGTATATTGTAAACTGACAAGTCATTTATTATGGGAAAATTCCAAATATGTGCTGGTTCCATCTTCACAAATACAAGTATTTTCTGCTCTTCTCTGTTTTATATCACTGTATGCAAACAAGTCGTTTCATGATGTCACTATGGGTTCTCTTAATTTTTATTTTCTGACATTTTCTTAATTGAAAAAAAAAAGAAATCCACAGATTAATAGGATGAAAATAATTGTTAGTTGCAGCTCGACTGTAGATTAAGTGAAGGAGATGAAGTCAGTACTGAAAAGGGATTTTACTTTAAACTAATATGTTCGAGAGAAGCTGTAATAGTTTGGTTAAGGTGAAGTAAAGACACTTCTGTCAGTCTCTTGAGTCTGGTTTTCTTTCCACCTCAACCTTTACTTAAAGATGCATTAGAAAACCAACTTCCTTCATCAAGTCTTGTCACGTTAGTGCTTTTTTAAATGATCATCAGTAAATCTTTAGTTGAGCGGGACTTTACCTGCACTTCAATGGCACATTTGTTTTCCTTATTTATACTAAGTTATGAGGATGCACACTGCCCCAAATGTCCTAAACTGGGACACAGCACAAAATATCCGGCTGTCCCTGTGTTTTAGTCTCCTAAACCAAAACTTGCCAAGATTTAATGCAGGAGACGTCATCAGACCACAGCTTGTAGATCTGAAGAAACCTCTCCTTTTGGCAAGAGAGAATAAAGCAACAGATCACCGTTATATTGTGTGGTGGTATCTGTTGTTGATCTTCAGATTTAATGTCTTTTTTTTACTGAACATATACTGCAAAAATAGAGACACGAGTCCAGGCAATAGAGGTGAGACAAGGAAGCTTTAGGATCAGTTTTGCATAAATGCGCCTTTTCCATATCAGTAAAGGCCCTGCGATATAATCCCGTCATTACTGTAGAGGTGCACACAAACCTAAATAATAACGCATCTTTCATTAAAGCAGCTTTCAGCCTCTGTTGCATCAGTGCTGGGACACTCTGGCCAAATATGTCCCACACAGTCTTTTCAAGCACCTTGAGGAATTAACTGTTCACACTAAACGCTTCCTTTATGTAGTACTGTGTTTTCTTTTTGTCTGCAGGTGGCTGGTTTTGGCCATTGCAATGATGCGCTTCTACATCCAAAAAGGCACACACAAGGGTCTGTACAGAAGTATAGCAAGGACACTCAAGTTTTTCCAGACCTTTGCATTAGTTGAGGTAAGACTTTGACTAGAATAGCATCAGAATGAAAACACTGGCAGATCATGGTCAACATTCATTCACCTACCGAGGAGATGAAGTCTGACGATCGTAGAAAAGTTATTATAAAACAAAATAACTACATAAACTCATTTTATGCATGTCTTCTTACAGGTGGGACATTGTGCAATCGGTATGTGATGCCCTTGCTCAATTTACTGTATGTTTGAATTTAAATGTTCACACACATGCAAACACACGTGCAACTGTAAATTGTTTTTTTTTGTTTTTTTTGTTTTTTTCTCTCTTGCTCTGCTGCAGGAATCGTGAGGACTTCTGTGATTGTTACCGGGGTTCAAGTGTGTTCACGGATTTTCATGGTTTGGTTCATCACCAACGGCATCAGACAGGTAAAGCAAATGCAAAACAGTGTCTCAGTGAGTTTTACTCTCACAAGGCTTTCTGGGACAAAATCTAATCGAACGAGGTCGTGTTTCATCACCGTTTTGTGTTCAACAATTCACGTCTCTGCTCCCACACACCCCACACACAGGTACCGAGACCTGTAAGAGCAGCATTTGTCATGTAAACATCTTCCTTCTTCCTCCCTCTGACTTTAATGAAGATCCAGAATGAAGAAAGCGTAATCCTATTCCTGGTTGTGTGGACGATGACAGAGATTACCAGATATTCCTACTACACATTCAACCTGCTCAACCACCTGCCGTACTTCATCAAATGGGCCAGGTGGAGACGCCATTAGCCGTGGCCGCGGATGAGCTTGATTTGTCATTACAGTGTCGGGACATTGTGTCTGAGCATGTGGGCCTGATCTGGCGATTTCACCTCTGGCATGCTTCCCCTACCCCCTGGGCCTAGACCGGCTTTACATCAGGAAGTAGTTCAGCCCTGTGTGTGTATTAAGTATCGCCCGGCTCACACAGAGAGAAGGAGCATGTGTGTGTTTATTGATTAGCACCTCATTAGCCATTCTCTGTCAATGGTGGGTGAACTAACTGCTGACATTGTGCACTGACAATACTGATAATGCAAAGCAGATGCTAGAGGACAGGCTGACATTTAATCATTTCAAGATATTTTTATCAATACTTTTATTATTTTTTTTTTAACTGTAGCTTGAAAATAGAATGAAATATGGTTTATAATGTTATATGTTTTTTTCCTAACACACATCTGCATTATTAAAAATAAACGACGAAAAAAAAAACAGATTCTTTTAGCAATGAAAAAAGTGCTGTTTTGAATCCAAATCCTTAATTGTTCGCATGGCAACAATAAAATGAGGCATTTCTCGTGGCCGTCAGTGAAATGTGGTGATGATCAACACATTTCTAGGATGCACAGTAACATAATGCCTGCTTACTACTGTATGAAGAGTGCTTGTGACGTGGCAGTCTGGCCTTGCGTGTCTCTGTGCTACAGTAGCTCAGCTGAAATTGGAGTCCTTGGGAGGAACGTCAGCCGTACACATTGATAGCTGTCCAACACACAGGCCTGGCATCTTACAGCCCAGAGAGCCATCTCGCTTCAAAATAGTGAAGTTCACATATTACATCAGCTCATTTACCAGGAGAGATGTTGTGCTGTCTCTGGGTTACCACTGTCAGAGGCCTACCAGCGACTTGTTCATTTTTCTGCCCCTTTTCAGTGAGCCATGTGATCGTCACGAAGGCGGTTCAGTTTTGTTCAAATTTCTCTTTTGTTTTGGATTTTTTGATCTCGTGTACTGACTGGCCCCTCTCCTCCCTGCCCCCCACCCTTCACGTCTTTCTTTAAGCATGGAGGAGACGCCAGGCCCCCGGAGAGGGGGCTCATGTTCAGCTGCTCCTGTTTTTAAGACCATCTGTTTTGGTCATGGAATGTTCACCCAACATTTCTCTCACATCCGCTGAGACGCTCCCCCGAGCCTTTGCTGTGGTCTTGGCTAAATACAGGATCCCTATAGCCCTGAGTCACGGCACATATCGCACTGGAGGGACCTCCAGTCGCCACAAAGGGACGTAGGCGATCTCACACTTTTGCGCAGGGAGAGACCTTTGCAATAGAAAGACAAGAAGATAATGTTTGTGAATAATTTTTAGCTGCACATAGAGAAAACCTCCTTAACCGTAATAGCTCTTTTCTGAATTATATGAGACCGTATTTGATGTGGAATTCCTAAATTTGTTTACCAAGCTATAAAAGTAAAGCCAACATGCACAGAAAACTGCTTGCTGTCAGCTGAATATCTCCTGCCTACTGATGCTTGTAAGCCTTTGAATGAAGCACTAGTTGTCGTCCAAGTTGAGAGACCGTCTGTGTGTGCATTTCAGTGTCTGTATGCCAAGTTATCAAAATGTATCCATTGTCACTGTAGTAATCAGCCATTTAGTGCAACGATTCAGTTGCTCACAGTTGTCAGAGGCACAAGTTGCAGCCACAACCTGATCCTGCAGCTTTGCCCACTACGACACCGTGCCAAACCAAATCCTTTTTCACTGGGGAACCCCAGATCTCTGTCCAAGCTTCAGTCATCGCCCATCAGCAGTACTAGAGATCCTTCCTGACCAGCTGTTTTGCTTCAGTAGGTCACAATATATGTAAAATAACCCTAAAAAATACAGTAGAACTGCTTAAAAGTAGAATCTAAGAGTTGGTCTTCGTTTTGAAGACCTGAATGTCATTCTACTTTGCTTCAGCCCCATCAGTCTCTGGGCCCTCATCTGTGAGATTACCTTTCCCTTTCCCTTTCCAGCCCGTATCAATTTAACCTCAAAATACTGTATCCCTACCTGCCAAGTGGCTTCATTCTCTCTTACTGTGTCTTCCTCCTTTTACCACCTCTTCACTATAAACCACACAGTAATACTGTCGGCTGCAGTTGGTTTTCAGGTGATGGGAAGGTCCAATATCTATGATCTGAGAGTCGGCTCCTGGCCAGTGTTTTAATCTGAACAGTTTCATTGGTTATTTGAACAATACAACACACAACAGTAAGCACACAGGTATTTGTTGTGCAAAAGATATTGTCGATCTCTATGTCATGACTTGTATCAGTTGCTGTTTGGGAGCCAAGCTAGCTGCTAAGTTTGTAATAGCAGTAAATGGGCTAAAAGATCCAAATATTCCATGTGGTTCTTTATTTTTTTTACCTTGGACCCACAGGCTGCTTATGTGTAAAAATAAAATCCCTGCAGGATTAGGGAAGCATGTGTTTATTGTCGAACTCCCTTTTCCAAGGTAGCATTTGTTGCAGTGTGCACTCCTGCATCTTGGATTCCCCTCCTATCATTAAAGCAGCACTGTGTGTTTTCATGCATGCGAGTGTTAACGTCCTCTGACCATTACTGCAGGACTGTGTGGGTTGCAGTTGTGTGTGACTGTGTATATCGCTCTGCTGGAGTTTAAAGACGTCTGTGTCTCTTCCTTCCCAGATACAACCTCTTCATCATCTTGTACCCGCTGGGAGTCGTTGGAGAGCTGCTGACCATTTATGCTGCTCTACCGTTTGTACGCAGATCTGGAATGTACTCCATGAGGCTTCCCAACAAATATAACGTGTCGTTTGACTACTACTACTGCCTCATCATCGTCATGCTGTCCTACATCCCATGTAAGGAGCATTTTCAGTCCCACACTGTGCACATCATATTAAAGGCATGTGAAGTCTGAAAGTGAAACCGACTCTTTAGAGGATACACGTGGCATTTAAAGTCAGGCTAGCTATAAACTAGTATATAAAATAATAGCTATAAACTCTCTGTGCAGCACATCAGTTTCATGCTCGTGTTAAATTGTGTGCAGGGCCGCGGGAAGACCTTTTAAGTTGGGGGTGCTGTAGTGGGAGGAGAATTTTACCCTAACCCATACAAATACAACATAGGCCTACAACAATACTACTGCACACACCAAAAAAGCAGCAGCAGCCAGCTCTATAAAACAGACACAGCAATGCTGTTGCACAATAATAGCTCACAGTAATGCCATAACATTGCAATACACATGTCCAAAGCCCATTGCGCACAGCACACAAGGACATATCCAAATACGCACATTTTTTCCAACAAAGTTATATCAGTGTGATGTTAAAAGTAATTGGCAGCTGAATATTAAACTGCTTGGTGGCAGTTTAAACCAAATAACTTACCTTGACCTGCAGGTCAGGTGCTCCAGTAGTTATAATAATCCAAATGTAGCCTTGCTCAGGTGTTGGGGAAAGTCTCTCATAAAGGCATGGATGTGGGCAGTCACAGACTTTTTCAGTGAACAGAGCTCTTCTTTGTGGATGGAGCTTGGATAGACATGTTGCTTCATCTTGACGTCTTGAACTGAGACAGGAGACTCGCTCCTCGGGAAGGTGAAGGGGCAGCAAATCACCTGTTAGCAGCAGGCTAGCTCCTGGTGGCGGTGCTAACGCTGATACTCCAGCATGTCTCCCGTCTCCAAGGAAAAATTACAACCAAACGAAAACAATGCTGTTGGAGCTGCTCTCCTGGGAGGGCTGGGCTTCATTTGTGATCTCTTTAGCTGGTGGTTTGCCCTAAAAAAAAAAAAAAAAATGCAATAATCTTTTCCTGTATTGTGATTTTATCCTTCGATTAGCTATCAATGCCACAGCAGCCGGATGATGTTGATGACCCGTCCTACACTGCCTCTGATTGGCTGATGAAAACATTAAGCTCTCGCGTAGTTCCGGCAGCCATGATTGTATCGTCATTATTAAATAAATAAATAAATGAACTAAACTCCTGCAGGTCATAACAAGTTTTGTGCTGTAAAATGTTAGTGGGCGTTTATCTATTATGGTTTATTTCATTTTATATTGTTTATGCTGCATATTGATGATTGCAAATTTATTTTACATTTTCTGGAGAAATCAGTTGAGAATGGCACAAAAATCCAGTCCCAACATTAAACAAACCTGCCCAGTGATTTGTAACATTGCCCACAATGGCCCACTGCTTATTAAATAGAATTATAATATATGGTATAAATGTGGCCTCACTATATATCCAGTATCATCATGTTCCAGATTCTACTGTAAAGCAATAATGTGACTGATGTGACTGATCCTGTTTGTTTTTCTGTTTCCCCAGTGTTTCCTCAGCTCTACTTCCACATGCTGCGGCAGAGGAGAAAGGTGCTTCACGGGGAGGTCATAGTGGAGAAAGATGACTAGACAAAGCACCACCTCATGCCTCTGTTTGAGCCAGCCTGCACCCCCCCACCCCCCGACACACACACCCTTCACCATCCCCACCCCCACCCCTCCGCTTCATCTTCATCTCCATCTCCATCTCATCTTTAGCACCATCAGCTGTTCCATTCTTCATTGCACAGGACAGGAAGGGCCACACAGATGACGACCTGTCTGATGAGAAAGAAAAAAAAAAAGCGACAAGCGGTGATAGTGAGGAAGAAATGACAAAAACCACAGGAGTTCATCTGTACCCAGCAATAATAAACAAGTGATCCTAGGTCTTTCCTCACAGGATCTGAATGGTAATATTGGAAACATGTTTACAGTCCCAGTGTTGCTGGAGCTTGAAACAGAAGCCTGGCGTTGTGACGCAGCGTAGAGAGAGATCCTGAGCCCTTTTATTCACCCACCAGCCTTACCGCATCTTGTTGCACTGATGCACCGCAACCTGAAACACACGCTGATCATGAAAAACCATGAGCCACGACACTGCACCCTGAAGGAGAAAAGAGGCAAATGAAAGGCTTCCAGAGAAATGTGAAAGAAGATTGTAAGTTGTGTCTATTGAGTTGTCCCAACGTCATCGCCCCAAAACCTACACAATTGGCATTTTTATTTTATTTTATTTTTTAAAGATGTATTCCACCACAGATTTTATACAAACATAGCGTGGCTGTACAAATGAAGGTTCAAGAGAAAATATTCATAGTTCTATCATACCTCAACAATAAATCTACATTTAGACAATATGCTGCTTCTTTTGTGTATGTTTGTTTTACCTTATGTGTAAATGATGCAATGTGAAATAAGCAGGTAAATAGTAAGCATATTTCTTAAAAGAGAATTTATGCACACACTGTATGACTTAGAGCAAACACAGCTCAGACTTAACGTTTTGTCTGCTTGGCTCAGCTCCTGCATTCTTTAAAGTTGCTTTGTTGTTTACTGTGTCAAATTAATTTACAGGGGTTGCATCTTAAACTTATTTGAGCCTTCAAAAAAGTTGCAGCTTTTTCTGTAACAAACCGCAGTAGGTGAGGCTACACTTCAAATTCACGTGAGCGCTATTTTGTTTGTTTTTTAACACAGAATCTGATGTCCGTGTTGATAGAGAGGTAGTTAGATTCCCTCCGACTAAAGGTGCTATTGTGAGATCAATTCAATCTTCTGTGCAGCTGAAGGAGTGACTGTGATTGGAGTTGACCTAAAGCAGGAAAAAACAGGATGTGAAATGAAATGAGAGGAAATGTTAGTCAATGAATTGCATAGCCCGTGGTATTTGAAGACAATCGACCGCTTTGCTTATACTCTGGGTTAAAGAGGAGAAAAAGCAATAAAAGTCAATGTCAAAACAATCACTGGAAAAAAAGTTATTTTTCAAGGAGAGCAATAGAAATGTGAAAATACCTTTTTTGTGCAAAGTCAATAAATAAATTCTACAATACTGTGGAGAGTTTTGTGATGACCTTCACGCCGAGTTACGCTGAAATTTAAATATCACACATCTGACACGAGATCTGTTTCTATGCATTTGTGTGTAAAATGTATAAATGAGCCAAACAAACACAATCATCTCTTGGGTTTTACATATTTATTTTTGAGTGTTTCCTTCATGTTTAAAATCAAGTGTTTTTTTTTCAACAGGAAATACCTGAGTGCAGAAAATGGTACATTTTCTATTTGTAGGTAGGATCCACAGATTCTTATATATAAACATAGGTATGTCTGTAAAAAAGGAAAAATAGATCTCGTAATCAAAATACTGTATCATACACAAGAGTATTAAATGTAAACTTGAAGTTTTGAACTAAAACTCAAGCTGATTGTGACATTTCTTCCTGTATTTATGTGTCAGTACTTCATTTATTCCTACTCATATAAAGGAAAATGCTATATAGACATTCATGAGGTTAGATAACAGTTCCTCAAAGATAGCATATCAGCAACATTTTTTGTGCATCATTTTGCACCTTTTATTCTCATTTTAAGACACTTGCATATTATGAAAAGCACTACGGTAAGTCCATTGGGCTCCATAGAATTTATATTTTCCTATAAAATAGTTGCATAATGATATATACATTCAGATATTCAGTTGCACATGGAATACAGTTTTATAAAATGTATTTCAAATAACCATAATATATATATGTATATATATATCAATGGATGATTTGGTAGTTTAAAAAATAAAAAACAGATTCTCCTCCTTCTTTGGTTGCCCTGCTGTATTGCACTTGCTGGTAAAGTCGGACTGGCTTCACTCTGGAGGAGAAAGGCGTCTCTTCAGCATTGGAGAGACGTTTGCTGCTGCAGCCCCGGGCTCATTTCAAATTTGTCCCTTTGCTCTCTCCGTATGGACTCTCCATGTGCCGTGTCAGTGGACCAGTGCCACATGGGTGAAGTCTAGCTGCTCACTGCAAGCTCGCTTTCAAGACCTCGCTACGACCCAAGTGATCTTGCTGCAGGAAAAGACACAGAGCGACATTAGGACACCCCTGAGGAAAAAAAAAATTCTTGAGATATTTGTAGAGCAGGAGGAAAAACAGTGGCATTCGGAAAAGGAAAAAGAAGATAAAAACAGGTGCGGAGCAAGACAGAAATGGACGTACAGGTCTCCATGTCCTTCTCACAGATGTAGCTTATGAGATCTTCACAGAAGAAATCATTCCATAACCCTTCGTGGATGAGACCAGCACAGTCTTCTCCTATTTCATGCCCGTGGCCCCAGTTGTCAGGCTGACCTGGCTTCCACTTCCTGCAAGCAAACAACAGGGGGCGATCATACATCAGATTTACATGATCTGATCTAAGGCTGTAGTGGAAAACCACAGCAGTGAATAAGAGAGAATAAACTTGCAGAAAGTGAAGCTGGATCACTTGATAGAAATTTCCACCATTGACCATTCCTTTATCTGCAATAGTTACATACAGGTGTAGATCATTGGGGTTAACTTGGATTCTCTTTATAGTTCTGTAAAGCTTTAACGTTTGTCTTAATGTGGGATTTTTGCTTTTGTTGTCTGGTGGAGACAAAAAAGTGAACTGCTCTCATTGGATGACCTTGTATAAATGAAAGTCGAATGAATCTGTTTTGTTTGAAGAGGCAGCTGAAATTGAGAAGTGGAGTTTTACATGCAAGTTAATGCAATCAGAAAGTACCAGAAAGTTGAGATTTTCACAGGAATTTGAATGTTTATTTTGTGTTATTTCATGTAACTGAAAACCTACAGCTTAATGGTGCTCTATGCTCGTTATTATTATTGGAAAGCAAGATTTTGCTCTGAAACTAAATCTCCATCCCCGAGAACAAAAAATCTTCCCTATGAAAGAAGTTTTTGCTTCAGTACTGACGTGAAAGCAGGTTCAGTCCCGTCCAGCCAGCGCCACACGTTCTCCTCCTCCTTGTCGGTCAGACCCATCCAGAAGTAACCCTTTCCAAATGTCTGCTTCTTCAGCCATCTCTGAGGTCACACGAGGACAGAAAAAGCAACGAGTCATTAACTAAGAAGTTACCTCACACATTACAGAGCCATGACACACTTTACTTTCAGGAAACAGGTCAGATTCTGGGATTTCGTTATTTTATTAAGGGAAAAAAATGAAATCATAGTCAGTCACCTGTTCCTCCATATCATTGATGATGAGCAAAGAGGCAGACTTTGATTCGCATGATGCGTTTGCATCATCAAAACTGTACAGGTTCCTGGAGAAGAAGTAGCACTTGTCTCTATAATTTACCCACTCAACAGGGCATCCTGCAAAACAACGAGCAAGTTTATTACATAAATCAAAGTTCGTTATTATAAGTGGTGCTAGATCAAAGGCTTATTCACTTTCTTTTATTTTATATTATTATTTCATATTCAAACAGAATATAAGACTAAATGAGGAAAGCCTTACCGGGGGCCCATATCGTAGGAGCTACTGCCTCATCCTGCAGAGACACAGGGCCCAAAGGAATCATCGGACCACGGAACTGGATTCCTGGTTGTCCTGGTGGTCCTGGTGCTCCCGGAGGCCCCACTGGTCCTGGTAGTCCCCTTGGCCCCTGCTCCCCAGCTGGTCCCACTGAGCCTCTGATACCTGGTGGGCCCTGTGCCCCCTGAGGGCCAGGCTGTCCGTCTCTTCCCGGCAAACCGGCAGTACCCGGCTCTCCTTTAGCTCCAGAAGGTCCGGCCCTGCCTCCTGACCCTCGGGAGCCCTTGGACCCTGGGCTGCCAGGTACGCCTGGTAGACCCTTTAGCCCTGGCAGACCTGGTGGTCCTGGAATACCCTGCTCTCCTCTGGGCCCTCGTATCCCTGGACCACCCTTTTCTCCTTTCTCTCCCTTTTGGCCCTGCTGACCAGATGATCCCTGAGGTCCCTTGTCGCCTTTTGGCCCTCTGGGACCAGGGGGCCCTGAAACATAAAATATACTAGTTTAACAAACTGTGAAGTATTCTTTTAAAGTTTAATGCCACATTTTGGGAAAAACACATTTCAGCTTTCTTCCTGAGAGTTTGATGAGAAGAGTGACACCACTGTGTCTATGGGATGAATCTGAAGCTACAGCCAACAGCCAATTAGCTTGGCTCAATAGTCTGACACTGTAGACTAGCTCTTTGTAGCCTTTGTACTAAGCTAAGCTAACTGGCTGCTGGCGCTCACTTCACATTAACGGCCGTGGACATGAGAGTGGTATCTATCTTCTCAACTAACTTACAGCCACACATCCCTCACCCTGTAAAATAGTGAAGTTGCTTAATCGTTGTGAGTGCTCTGTGTCCACCAGTTTCATCTCCTCCATGACAATGGAGAGGCCGGTGACCTCCCTGTCCAGACGTGCTGCCAGCACCTCCTGCTGGGACCTCAGATATGATGCATCTGTCCTCACATCTGTCACGCTGCTGTTGAGGTTTAACAAGAAGACTGAGTGACGGCCGACTGTCTGGGAACAAGTAAATCGTAAATCGTTCATGTTTAGGTTGATGGCACCCAAGATCTGCGTGATGAAGCTGATGTTGCCCGTCACGCGGTCGATGTCTCGCTCCGACTCATCCAGCCGTACCTCCAGCCGGTTAAAATTGATGGACGTGAAGTTGCTGAAGATCCTCTGCTGATCCGTAATCTCCCGCAAGGTCTGGTCATGAGCATCAGCCTGGCTGCTGGTGTCCTGGAGCTGGTTGGCCATAAAAGTGAGCTGTGATCCCACATCCTCAAGGCTAATGTTGTTGGCGTTTGCCAGAACTGAGGCATTACTAGCCAAGACTTCCAAGTTTTCCACTCTACCTATAAGCCACTCGGTTTCAGAGCGTGCGTGTCGGGTCGTTTGCTCAAGGTTTTGAAAGTCAATGTGCATTTTCTGGATGGCCTGGCTGGTGTCATCCACCGAGTGCTGCAGAGCAGCAATGAGGCCACTCTGCTGGGACTGGGTGAGGTCCAGGCTGCTGATACTGATCAGCGCCTGGTTCTGGAGTTTCACCTGCTGCTGGAGTTCTCTCTGCAGCCTTGCTGTGTCTTCCTGTAGACCTTCAATGATGTTGCCGTAAGACTGCAGGGTGCCATTTACAGAGCGCAAGGTGGCTTTGTTGCTATCCAGCAGTCCCTGGATGGAGCCCTGGCTGCTCTGGATGTCTGAGCCAATGCTCTGCAGCTGACTCAGCTTAACTTGATCGCTGTGGATGCGTTCCTCCACCGCAGACAGTTGCCTCTGAAGAGTCCTGATGTTGTTCTTAAAAGTCTGGATCTCTGTGGTGGTATTCTCTGA